ATAGCAGCACGAAAAGAAGGCATGCGAGCTCATCTATCATCCTCATTACTCCAGCATCCGGCATGAAGACAGCTGAAGGCCCCCCAGGGAGAGGCTCTCACCAACGCCAGCTACACTCCCAGCTCAGCCAGGACGTCCAGCTTCCCGAAGTCTGAGGATGCTCGTTTATTTATACATGTGTAAGTAAGGTGACAGCTTTGGGGAACTGATTCTCTCCTCCACCATGTGAGTCCTGGGGATCAAACTCGGGCCATTAGGCTTGTCGCTAGGCATACTTACCCAAAGAGCCATCTCGCTGGCCCAAGTGTGAGAAATTTGTTTCTGCCGTTTGACTCACCCAATCTGTGGTGTTTTTGTTACAGCAGTCTGAGTGAAGACCGTATCATTAGTCACTAGGAAATGTAAACCACAATGAAATTCCACTTCACACCCACTAAGATGGCTGCAACCAAAGAGACAGACAATAACAAGTGTCCCTAAGGATGTGGGAAAATCAACCGGAACCCTCTGTATGCCGAGGGATGCACAAGGGGCCGCCATTTTGGAAATCAACTGACTTCCACAATCACGGATCAATTCCTCTTCCTGAGGAATTCGTGTTCCTCAGAGAATGGAAAACGTGTGTAAGATTTAGACACCTGTGGGTGGGTCGCACACCTGTGATCCAGCACTTGGGAAGCCGAGGCAGGAGGACAGAAAGTTCCAGGGTGCTCTGGATCACACAGAGGAACCCTGTCTAGTAACAAAAACCAGGCCTGGGGATGACGGCCAGGGAGTGAGGGTGTGTGCCACACAGGCCTGAGGAACCAAGCCGGGTCCCAGAACCTGCTAAGCAGAGGCACAGAGCCAACCTGGGAGGATTGTCCTCTGACTGCCACACAGACACACACACACACCACATGTAAGAGACAACACATACAAACACACCCACACATACACATTCACACACACACACACACACACTCATATATCTGCACACACATTCACACACACAGCACATACACAGACACAGAGACACACGTATACACTTTCACACACTCATTACAAACACACACACAAGCCCACACAGAAGCACACACTCACACACAGACATTCACATAAACAGACACACACAGAGGCACAGAGACAGAGACACAGACACACACAGAGACAGAGGTACAGACACACACACACACACACACACACACACACACACACACACACAGTGTCACGAGTGCTTAATTATGCCAGAGGACTTTAATCAAGACACTACAAAGATACTGATAAAAGCCAAGGCCAGAATGATTTTTGAATGCTGCTTTAATCACACTAATCACATAGATATCTAAGAGTTGCAAAGCACATTATACATCTTATGGGGAATACAACCTGGCCGCAGGTACGGGCTCGGACACTTTGCCTCTGGTGTTGGGTGTCTTCTAGGCCTGGAACTTTGCAGTTCCAGCTGGACCTTTGACTCGTCTTCTGATGACTTGACAGGCCTCAGAGCTTCTCTGCTCTGGCCAGGCCTCGGGTGCGAAGGAAGCTGTGGTTGCTTGGGAACGCCTTCCATGGCCGGTCTGATAAGGTGGTCCTTTCAGAACCGGTTTGTTAAGGTGGTCTGGGCTTTTCAAACAGCCTTTCGGGAATTGGCTGGTTAGTGGCGGTCTCTCGGTGTACTCACCAAAGAGTCTGGCCTGCCGTGCCCGAGTGGGCTCTGGCTCCAGTTTTAAACGTTTTTCAGGGCATAGCTTTAACTTATCATTCTTTCACACGCACGCACACACATCAGCTGCCTTAAGAGCATTCTTAGTTACTATTACTACAAATATCTTCTTCTCTATCCTTGACAGCTCTGCTGTCTTACAAGCTCTCAATGTCTTAGGGGCGTTGCCCAGTCACTGTCACCAAAAATGTCTCTTAACTTTGCTCCTGACAGCTTTGCTGTCTTACAGGCTCATTACACACACACAGAGAGGTACAGACACACACACAGAGACAGAGGCACAGACACACAGACACAACAGTTGAACAAAAACAGCTGGGCTTGCTGATACAAGCCTGTAATAAGACACTCAGGCTGGAGGCAGGAGGCTTGACAGTTCAAACCTTGCCAGGGACATAAAGCAAGTTCAAGGCTAGCCTGGGAAACTTGACAAGACCCTGCTTAAAACAAAGTGTGAAAAGGAGGCTGGGACACAGCTTTTGCCTCCCCCAAGATCAGGCCTAGAACCAAAGAGAAAGCACAGCAATGACAGCAGAACGGGGCTGGCTGCTGAGCCCTCGGGGCCAGCGAAGTCACACTGCAGACTGCATTTCCCTGAGTGTGTACATTGGGAGAGTCTTAGAGACGGAAGGTAGACCGAGGGTCTCCCATGGGGCGAGGCACACCCTCCCCCTCGGCCGCAGTGCTGGTCTGGGATCTTTGAAAGGTAAATGCAGAAGGCTTCTGTCTGCTGTCCTCGGGAGCAAGGCGTTCTGGGGCCTTGGAAGCTGCTGTCACCTCTGCCTGGAACACTCTTTCCTCAAGCGGGCGGTCACCCAAGCCTGAATGTGCTTCAAATGTCGCAAACCTCCTGGCGCTTGTCCCTTCAGTTCATGTCCCCATGCACATGAACGTGTGTGATGTTTATTCAGACATGTTCATACACCCATGGCTGCGGATGCTTGTAAATGTGTACTCTGTGTATGTGTGAGTAGTGTATATGCACGGTGTCTGTGTGTGTCTGTGCATGTGTTCTATGGTGCGCGTGTGTTATACATGCGTGTGCTATCTGTGTGTGTGGTATGGTGTGTGTATGTGTGTGTGAATGGTGTGTGGTGTCTGTATGTGTCTGTATGGTGTGTGTGTTGTGTGTGTGTGTGGGAGTGAGTGGCATATGTGTGTGGTGTCTGTGTGTGTGATATGGTATGTGTTTGTGTGGTGTGTGTGTGTATGTAATTGGTTTTGGTGTTTTGTGTGTGTAGCCTTGACTGTCCTGGAACTCGCTCTGTAGACCAGGCTGGCCTTGAACTCACAGAGATCTGCCTGCCTCTGCCTCCCGGGATCACAGGTGTGCGCCACCACTGCCTGGTTTACTGAGTAATTCTTTTCTGATTAAACTTAGCAGCGACACCAGATCTCTAGGTGCAGTCAGGACGCAAAGGGAGCGCCCCCTCACCCCTAGATGTGAGGAAAAGCCTCTGGACAGAGCCGAACATCTCCTCTGGGGAAGTAAGGCTGCCGGAAGTTGAAATTCACTGCTGAGGGAGAAAGTAGAGGTCGTAGGTGGACTGGCTGAAGTGCAGAGGCGCCTTCAACCACGCCCAGGAGCTGAGGACTGCAGGGCCAAAGGTGGGGGGGGCAGGGGGTGAGGTGGGGGTGGGGTGGCAGTGAATGTCTTAATCTCAGCTTTTGGACGGTGGAGGCAGGAGGATCAGGAGTTGCAAGTCTTCTTGGGCTATATACAAGTTCAAGGGCAACCTGGGTTACTTATTCCCTGTCTCAAAAAATGGGGGGGAGAAAAGAGTGGCTGGGATGTGGCCAGTGAGAAGACAACCGGTCCTGCCTGTGGTAGCCCTAACCAAGCCCTGCTCCAATGACAGCATTTATTTTTCTTTATTTATTTGCTGTGTTTAACTTTTTTTTTCTTAATTTTTATTTATTTTGTTTTGTTCTTCGAGTCAGGGTTTCCCTGTGTAGCCTTGGCTGTCCTGGACTCACTTTGTAGACTGGCCTCGGACTCACAGAATTTCCCCTGCCTCTTCCTCCTGGAGAGCTGGGATCATGAGCGAGCGTGCGCCACCACGCCTGGCTCTCTCTTTAATTATTTTAAAGTACGATTATTTGCTTTACTTATGTCTGCGTCTGTGTGTGTCTGCGTGGTGCATGTACGTGTAGGGGCACGCAGAGGTCAGAGCTGCAGTTCGAGGCTTCCAGGGATGAAATACAGGTCTTCAGCCTTGGCAGCTAGAACCCTCCAGTGCCTGAGTCATCTCACCAGACCTCCAGTTTCCTTTACTCTCCTCCCCACCCCCACCCCACCCCCTCTGGTGCGGCCAGGGAGCCCTGGGACCAGGAGGAGCAGGCCTGGAGCAAGAGTGGGGTCAAGGAGTGTCCAAACCCCAGAAAGCTCATCCTGAGGTGAGCAGGAGTGGGATCATTGCCCCCAACCCCCTGCAGGTAGTCTTGTGACACCGCCCACCTTTGCCCCACTGGAGACAGTCACATAACCGGTGGCCGGGTTAAGCTCCTTGCCCTAAGGTCAAGTCCAGCAGCAACAGGAATTCCTCCTCATGCAAATGAGGCATCCTCAGGACCCTTGCTGCAGACAATGACTCATCTCCCAAAGGCCTTTTCGTCCCCCACCTCCCATCAATTAAATAGGCTCTCCCAAAGAGGCCAGTCTCACTAGCTGCTTGAGGTCTTCATCCCCTGCAGCCACAGCCCACCCTGCCTTTCTCCGCTTCCTCCCTCCGGACCCACCAGGCTGATCCGGTAAGGGCTTCTTTCCTCTGGATCCACGGGTCTGACCCTCTGTGAATGGGGAAGCAGGGCGGGAGCGACTCCTGAAGGGACCAGAGCCCTGTCTTGGGTACTCTGCTTGAGGTCTCCATCTCCTGTGGCCCTTTCCGCCTTGCTTGCTCAGGCATCTTCCCCACCTGCTCCAGGCACCCATTGCCAGCAGGATACTTCGTCATCACTAGCTGCCAAGATGCGACAGAAGTCTCACATCCCCCCCCCCCCCCCCCCCCCCCCCCCGCCCCATCCCCCTGTGAAAGGCAGTCCCCCCTTCTGCTCTCTTCCCTCCCCCACCCCAGAGGCAGCCTCTGCATACCCCTCCCCAATAAACCTCCCACGTGAGGGTGACCTTATGGCCTCTGTCACTTAGATATCAACCCTGCTTCTTTCAGAGTCTGTGGGTTAGGGTGGGGAAGCAGGGCGGAAGGACAGCTGAGGAGACCCTTCTTTACAACCAGGAGGGGTTTTGTTTGTGTCTTTCTACAGGACCTGCCCAGGCCTATTTGGGTCCCAGCCAGAAATGTCCCACCCCACCCCACCGAGCACGAAGCTGGCCCACCCCTCGCTGACGGGTCAAGGACTGAGGAGGCCAAGGAGATGCTGTCCCAGACGGGACAACAAGATCTCCAAGGACATCCACAACCTGGGGGCCCCTGCTCAGGCCATGTGCCGCCTGCGGGCTCCCCTTTCCTCTATTCTCATGGCTGCTTTTGTTGTTCTTCATTCTAACTCCGCTACTGCCCAGCCTCTTCCTCACCCTCGAAATACCCACTGGAGATTCTTTGCTAGGGAGATCTACCACGGACATGACAAAGTCATAGGAACCCAGGACTGCCCACTGGAAGGATGCCAGACCGCCATTGAGATCCCTCTACGCCCTGATTCCATCTCCACCACGTCCGACCCTTTCCTCTGCTTTCCTTACCGCAACACCGGCGCCTGCCTCCGGGAGGCCTCCTCGTACGGAGGTTGCAGGTACCAGAGGTGCCAAATTGAATCCGCCGGCCGCAGTGGCACCATGCTCGCCAACCTTAACACTCATTTTCAGCTTTCTATCGGCGATCCCTGGGACGAGCGATGGCAGACAGGAGTGGTGGGGAAGCTCTACCCTAACAGCCACGCCAAATCCCCAGTAGCCGACCTGCGCGTGTCCTGCCTGCTCGTCCCTGTGTCCACACCTGTCACTGACCGACGCGTTAAAGATCTTCAGCAGAAGACTCACACTCGAAAGCAGGACCAAGCTGCTGTCTCCTGGCTACAATACATCCAATACACCGCCGGCCTCCTATCCCTAACCACCCACCGAAACGCCTCTGAGTGCTTCCTCTGCGCCTCCCTCTCCCGGCCGCCACTGACAGCCATTCCAGCTAACATCTCCATTCACGAACCCCTCGGGCCCTCACCCCCAGGAAAGTTACAAAACGTTCCTCTCTTCGATCTGTCCTTCCCCCTTTGCCTCGTAAGCCCCTCTTCAAGGTCCCATCCTTCGTGTTCCCGTGACGTCACCGTCACCGAGCCAGTATGTGTTCGCCCTCCCGCTCTTCTCTGGTGCAACAATGTTACCAGTGCCTGCGTTAACCCCCCCTTTCCAGGTTTCTGCACCCCGGTAATAGTTGTTCCCCAGGTCTATCTCTACGAGCCTCAAGAGCTCCCTTTACAGCTGGGAGGAGACGGAAAGACAAGAGAGGGCTTCGTTCCTCTGCTCATCAGACTGGGTGTCAGGGACTTGCTGGGCCCCACCGGAGCCCCTGGGGCAGCCTTTGTCCAAATGCACCATCCTGCTGGTGACTTCCAGGAGAACTTCGACCAGGCCACAGCTTCCTCCACAATCGACAGTCTTGATTCCCTCCAGCCCCAGGTCACCTCCCAAGCAGGGGTTGCTCAACAAAACCGAAGACGTCGGTACTTGGCGGCTGCTGAGCAGGGAGCCACTTGCTTTTTCCTGGGGGAGGAATGCTGCTTCTACGTGAATAAATCCGGACTGGTAGAACAAAATGTACAGAAGCTCAAAGAGCTCCAGCGAGAGCTCCAGGAGGGCAGCCTTACCTCACGGTACTCCACTCCCCTAGCGGCTTGGCTCGTCCCCCTCCTTGTTTCTACTTTGGTTCTTGGGGCCCTCCTGACAGGCTACCTGATCAAATATCAGAAAACCAGAAATGACAGATAAGTAACACTGCAAAACTCACTGCCTATTGGCTAACGATTGTGGTGATGCTCCCCCGTTATAAAACAGAAGAGCAAATGTGGGACCAGGATGAGCAGGCCTGGAGCAAGACTGGGGTTGAGGCGTGTGCAAGCCACTGAAATCTCATCCTGAGAGCATCAGGAACAGGATCTCTGCCTCTTCCTGTCCCGGGCCTGCACATCCCGGCTCTGGTAGCCCTGTGTCCTCCACCTTTGCCGCACTGGAGGGCATCACGTAGTCGGTAGCCAGGCTAAACTTTCCTCTTATAAGATCTTGTCCAGCCGGGCATGGCGGTGCACGCCTGCAATCCCAGCACTCAGGGAGGCAGAGGCAGGTGGATCTCTGTCAGCTTGAGGCCAGCCTGGTCTACAAAACGAGTCCAGGACAGTCCAGGCTACGCAGAGAAACCCTGTGTCAGAAAACAAAACAAAATAAAAAATCTTGTCCAGCAGCACCTGGGATTCTTCCTCTTGAGAATGAGGCCCCCTCATCACCCTGGTCCCAGGCAGTGATGCGCACCCACCCCAATGGCCACTGCTCACCCCCGAAAGGTTTAGCCTTTGTTCCCCCAGTTAAACGTGCTGTCTCACTGAAACGTGTTTCCCAAGAGTCTGTTCTCGGATCCACCTGTCGTGCGGGGTGGGGCATCAGGACCAGTGTCTGTCTCCTGTCTGGGCTCTCCCTTGACATCTGGAGCAGGCCTCTAGGGTGAGTGATTTCCGAGCTACCAACCCTAAGAAGAGGCTGGTGTGTGGAGTCTTTCTCGAGATCCTCTCGGGCTGAGCAGCCCCTCCCCTACAGACACACGCCCTCAGCTGTGCTAAGGGGCTGTCTGGTCACTCTGCCCCCAGCCCACCCTCTCTCTGGGACTTGTCCCTTTGTCTCTCACTGTTACTGACATGACATCCCCCATCCTTCTGTCTACATCTCTTTCCCTCCCCAGCCTCCCTCACCCCGGCCCTCCTCCCCTTGGAGTCTGTCTCTTCCCTGGTGGCTCCAGTGGTTTGGACACCCTCAGCTCCAGTTGCCCGCATGACCTCACTTCCCCCACCGCATGCACACACCCACTGTCACACAGACTCAGTGAGCTCATACAAACACGCGAGAACGTACACAGCCAGCATGCACGCATTGAGGCGCGCACACACACACGCACGCACACACGTTCAGGGTGCCTTGCTAGATCTGAGGCACTCTTGGCTCCTCCCATGGGCCCCAGCCAGGAGCTACCTACCCCATCAGGTTCCCCAGGGAACAGAGGGTAAACCCACATGGGGCCAGACAGGCTAGGCTTGCAGAGGGCCAGCTCTGCATGGGGCATGGCCAGCCCATCACCTGCCTGGCCTCTGCACAGAGGCCCCGGACCCCTCTTTCAGTAGCCTACCTTGCACTGGGGAGCTGAAGAACCTGAGCTTGTGGGTCAAGATCTTTCCACTCCCTGGAGGACAGACTGGCAGGCTCCTTTGTTCCGCACTCAGCCCTCTGCCTTTGCAAAGGAACCAAATCCTGGCTGGGAACTGGAGACTTGGGTCAAGCCAACTCAGCCATCATCGCCCAGGGAGGCTTTGGCATCTGCCTCAGTTTCTTCCTCTGCAAACCAGAGTCCTGGCGCCAGTCTGGTGGTGCTGCTGGCACACTACAGACACCAGGCAGTGATGCAGAGACTCCTGCTCTCCTCTGAGCCCCCAATTCTGGGCCCTGGGTTTCTCTGTAAGTTAGCCCTCCGCTTGTGGCCTGTGTCCAGGCCGGCTTCCCAGCATACTTGGGGGCTCGGAGGGAAGGGGTAACCAACCTTCTGCCTTTTAATTTAGATTCCTGGGTTTATGGCAGGAAGCACGGACGGGCTGACGCTGTAATTAAGGCGATTCCTGAGGCCGGAGGAGGCAGAAAGAGAAGCCCTGTAGGAGGCTGCTTCCCACATCTCCCTCTCCAGTCCAAGCCCCTACCTCCAACCTCCGAGCTTCAGCAAGATCCTCTGCCTCAGCTCTATGGCACAGACACTCCATTCTGCAACCCAGAAAAGCGGAGCTGGGTGACTGCACACCAAAGGTCACACGGAAGCCTCCCTCCGACACCCGTGGTCTATCCTAGGAGTGTTCAGACTCTGGAACTTCAGGACTCATCTTACTGAGTGCACCCCACCCCCCAGTCCGCATTCCTGAGGAGTCTGGGCAGAGCCTGGCCAGGGATATGGTGGGAGGGTCAAGACCAGGGCAGCAGCCTAGGGCCCAGCACCCTGCCTGCTACAGAAGCCAGCCAGCCAAGGCCTGGGGCAGTGTGGAGCTCTGCTGGGCCATAGCTGCTAGGAGACTGGGGACTCAGCTTTCCCATCCAAGGGCCCCAGAGCTAGAGCTCAGATTGTCTGCAGGTCACTGCCCCCCCCCCGCGGTCTCTCCTTCTGCTTCCTCCACTTAAGATGCACCTAAGAGAGTGATTGTCATCAGGGAGGGTATTCTTTCCCAGAAGAGCACACACATGGCTTTTAGCACCCAACTCCTCATCCCTTCTTCCTTCACTGCCCTCCCAGGCTGTGCCCTTCAGCAACCCTGCCCTCTCCGGACCTCTGAGATAATAATTAGTGGTCTAGGCTAGTAGACTTAGAACCCCAGCTACCTGGAAGACTGAAGCTCGAAGAGTCACAGGTTCAAATCTTGTCTGGGCTACAGTTTAAGAGAGATGCTACTTAAAAACAAAGGTTAAAAAAAAATAAAACAGGGCTGAGTAGCTGGCAAGACGGCTCAGCAGGTTAAAAGCACTTGTTACCAAGTCTGATGACCGGAGTTCAATTTCTGGAACCCTCAGGTTGGAAGGAGAAAAGAGACTGCCTTCCCCAGGTTAACCTCTGATCTTCACACATGCACTGTGGTATGCATGTACACACACAAATAAATGTAATTTTTACAAAAAAAAAAAAAAAAAAAGAAGGCTGTGAAAGTTTAGTGTACATGAGGTTCCAGGTTCAGTCTCTAGTATTGGACTGTTAGAGGGGACATTTTTTATTCACGATGGGGCTGGGGGTTCCGCCCTGAGGGTGAGCTGTTTGGGGAGAAGTGTCCATGTGTATCATGACAGGCGTGGTCTGCTACTGTGGAGGTTTGTCATCTTATAGGGTGCCTAGTGGGCGGCTCAGCCTAAACCCTGAGGAGTGAACCCTGGGGTCTGGGTCCTGAAATGGAGGCTGGAGGGGGTGCTAGGCATTCCACAGCTGGGGAGAAAGGGGGCTTTGTTCCCTGACACCGAGCTACCCCCAGCCTTCTCGAATGCCCAGGCACCCTGCCAACGACAGAGAAGCCCACACAGTGGTGCTGGGGGAGCCAAGGCCCCTTGCTGGAGCCACGGACCACCCTGGCCTCAGTGTCTGTCATGAGCCGCGTCCTCCTCGAATCCTAGGCCTGGACAGGTATCCCGCAGAGTCTAGGCGCTAGCCAGAAGACGGGAGAGAGAGAGATGGGAGTTGGGGTGATAGAGACTGGAAACACCTACTGTCAGCAAGGGGTTGGAGTGAGGACTGCTGGCCTGCCTTGTCCAGTTCCACATCCTCCTTGGTGCACAAATGGTAAACTGAGGCTCAGAGAAGGACCAAGCACTAAGAAAAATGCCTCAAGGCCAAGCTGGAGACCCGGAAGTCCCACTGGCCCCTCTCCCAGCCACGGGAAACAAAGATTTCTGGGAAAGACAGGACAAGGACATGAGCCTTGCCCTTCCCTGAGCACTGTCAGAGTAGCCATGTCTGGGTGGTGGGGTGAGTGCCCTCTACGCTGATATAGTTAGCTCTCAGTGAATGTTTTAAAGTGTTATTGATGTTCAGGGTAGCAGGTCCCTGATACACTGCCCTGCTTCTCCCTCCTCCTGTGACTTAAACCTGCCTGTCCCAGGCCTGTTAGAGACTTCTGCTCTCTGGCTCTTGACTTTCCCTTTTCATGACCCAAGGGCTGGGATTCCCAGGGGGGATCCCCTGTTCATTCCACAGGCAGAGTATTGGGGAGCCGGTGTAGGGCTCTGGACGTGGCCTGCAGCCTCCTCCTCAACTCTGGACCCTAGCTTTGTGGGTGATGTGGGTTGGGAAGCTGAAGATGGCCCATAGTGGCAGCAGCCAGGCCTCGTCCTGACCCGGAGGCCCAGCTGAAGGTGGGGAGAGCATGCTTTGGAATGCATAACCCTGTGCCCACCCCTTTCTCAGACCCGGTGATAACACAAAGCGCCTCCCTTTGTCCAGGCCCCTGCTTAACAGGATTGGGCGGGGTTGAGAGTGGGCCTCTGGTGAGGCAGGACGCCCCCTGCATGGCCACAATGGGGCCCTGTGACGTCACGCTGCCCCCTGCTGTGATGCCAGCGGCTGTTACAATGGCCCTTCCCAGACTAAAGTGGGCTAGATGGCTGGGGACTGGGCCGTGGGGGTTGGGATGGACACCTGCGCCTTGGAGCCTAGGATAACAAGAACAGCAATGCATCCTGTCCACCCCAGCTCAGTTTGGTCAGAGTCAAAAGTTCAGGAGAGGGCTGAGGAAAAGACAGACATATGTCTAAGCTGCCTGTCATATAAACATAGCTGACAACAGAGGGCTGCACAAAAGCTTCTTGGAGAAGTGGAGTAGAGGTTATTAGGGTACAGGACAGTTTCCAGGCCTGAGGGGGCCCTTGCAGGGAGAAGGTGGGCCTGGGGAACTGGTATGATTCAGAGGACAGTGAGTCTGAAAGCAGTAATGATGTGCAGACATTGTGACTGGCCAGAAGCCCCTGGACCTGGTCCCTGGTGGAGACAGGCCTGGACATCCAGTAACAGACCTGGTCCTGAGCTGCCAGTCTCTGCCAGACCAATGTGGAAACTTCATGGCTTGGCCTGGGCTGCAGAGTGGGGAATGTGATGAGGCTGCTGAAATGGGGCCTGAGCCCAGTAGGAGCCCACCCCCTGTCCTCAGCAGGGTGCCTGCAGCTTCCCAGAGCCAGAGCCTGGTTCACCCATGGCCACAGTTTCAGAAAGA